CAGCTACCTCTCCTAGACATTGTGTTCTGTATTCATATAGAAAGGACTTTCTCTATTTAGCCTAGGTAGAGATAGCACTGCTTTTCTAGTGTTTCATCCTCTATGGGATTGAAGGGACTGTGGGTTTCTATTCCTGATATTTGTTTGTAATAATATGGCCTCTCTGTACTATAATATCTACTTAGTGTCTGTCTGTGGTACTGCAGACTCTGGTGCATATTGACCATTTTTGTCACACCATCTGCGACAGTGTTTGCACTTAGGCAAGACAGAAAAGTCACTTGGGAAGCTCCCTTAAAGATCAAAATATTAGACTTATATGCTACTTCTTACTCTCCTCAAGGAGAAAATGGGAGCTGTCAGTTTCTTCCTATCAGTGTAGTTCTATGCTGAATGAGGATGGGTGGTGGGTGGGATAGTTTTTAACAAGAGAGTGCCACAAATTTTTCTTTCTTGCTTTGATGTGACTAGCTTTGTGCTCATTTGAGGTGCAGGAAACTTTTTACTGGTTTCTAGATTTCTCAGAAGTATTTGGTTTGTGTTATTGTTAAATCTGTGTTTCCATGGAGAAGCGAGTGTGTAAGGTTTTCTATTCTGTCATCTTGCTAACATCTTTTCCTATTTAGCCTTAGTTTTTGAAAGATATTCAGAACAGAATCCTAAGTTGATAGTTTTAAAAAAGTCAGTACTTTTAATGATTTTGCTGTAGTGTTTTCTGGATGGCATTGTTACTAATGAGAAGACTGCTGTCATTATCATTCCTCTGTGTGTTTAAGTGTGTTTCTTTGGCTTTTGTTATGATTTTTTGCTTATCACTAGTTTTAAGCAATTTTATTATGATGTGGCTTTGGGGTAGTTTTTGTCATATTTATTTTGCTGGAAGTTCATTAAGCTTCTTGAATTTGTGGCTTTATAACTTTTGTTAAACTTGGAAAAATTTCAGCCACTAATACTTCAAAATTTTTTTTCCTTCTGCTCCTCCCCTCCCTGGGATATCTTCAAATAAGGCATATAAAGTCACTCAATACTAGATTAAGGTTTTTTCCCCCCAGTTTATTTTGAGTAGTTTCTATTGCTTTGTCTTGTGGCTCACTAATCTTTTCTTCTGCTATGTCTAATCTTCGTTAAGACTTTGATGGTGGGTGAAATGGATTTCTTAGCTCCTGTAGTGAATGAAGCTGGTGGGATTCTGGGCTAACAAGATTCAATTATTTATATTAATTAATATCTTTGTGCCTGTCTTTTATAGATAGTTTGATGAAGCTAGTAGATTATGTATCTTTGGAAGATTTTTTTTTTTAAATGAAGCTCAGGAGGGTGAGTGAACAAATTCTATGAAATTCAACCATATCTGTAGAATACCATTTGTTCATTATTAGGTTTACAGCTTAAACTTGTAAATTCAAATACTGCATAGTTAATGCAAGATAGAATAGTTATACAAAAGCAGGGAGAAAAGTCAGTATAGTGCAATACAACACAAGCAATGCAATACAACATGAAGCAGGGGGAAATCACATGGTAAAGGGAGTTGGTGGGAGGAGAGAGAAGAGGAAAGAGTAAAGGTAAATTCTTATAAGAGGGACTATGCTTTAGCCATTAATACAACTGTAAGAGAAAACAGACAATGTAAACACATTTATTGAGCCACTTCTATATGCTAGGTGTGGTATAGTATATGGTATAGTTTTATGTGCTTTCATCTTTGTAACCACACTACAAAGCAGTTATAAATATATCTTAGGAGGAAACAGTCAGAAAGGTAAATTGCCTAACATGATATTCAATGTCTTTCCTGCAATGGGTGTTAACTCACTATTAGCTGAATAAATGAATGCATATTGATTCCAATGAATGATATCTTGTGTATTATTTTTGCTCTGCTTCTTTCTAATCTTTCTTATGAAATTTTCACTGATAACTACAGACTAGAAAAAGGACCATGGCATGCAGTAACAGCAACAACAATAATGGCAACTGCTATGGTCTGAATGTTTTTCTCTTCCCAAATTCATATTTTGAAATATTAACTCCCAAGGTGGTGGTATTTGGTCATGGGGCCTTTGTAATTAGGTCATGAGGACAGAATCCTCATGAATGGAGTTAGTCCAGGGAGCTTTTTTGCCCCTTCCATCATGTGAGGACACAGAAAGAATACATTATCTATGAACAAGAAAACAGGTCCTTACCAGATACTAAATCTACCAGTGACTTGATTTTGGACTTCTCTGTCTCCAGAACTATGCAAAATAAATTTCTGATGTATATATATCACCTAGTCTACAGTATTTTGCTATAGTAGCCAAAATGGAGTAAGACAGCAGCTAACACATGTAGAACTCCTACTAGCTGGGCATTTTTTTGATTTACATAAATATTAACTCGTTTAATCTTTATAACACCATGAGGATGAGTACAATTTTTATTTTTCATTTTCTTGATGAGAAGATTGAGGTGCATAGAGGTGAAGTAACTTATTCAAAGTCATCCCGCTGGTAAGTAGTGAATCCAATATTTGAACCCTGAATGGAGCTCTAGGCTTGCTTTGCAGTTCTTCACTATCTTGCCTCTAGGACCTTGTTGCCTTTCTTCATTGTGGTTCATCAAGCTTGACCTTTGGGCTCATGCGTAGAAGACCAAGGATTCCCTAATTCTCCTTTCAGGCCTCCTATTGTCATTTTGGCAAGTACTGCTTTCCATAGGCAAAGGAAAACATTGCTTTGCCAGATTTTTTTTTTAATTGTAGAAAAGACAATTTGAAGTTGGAGTAAGGTGCAAATCTGTTCAGCTTTCAGATGGTGGGAAAGATGAACATAAGTTAACCTTGCTCTATTTATAAGATTACCAAGTCTTTAATCTCAAAATGAATATTGTTAGGACAAGGGTGAAATGTGGGGTTCCATTCTATAATTCTTGTCAGTGTTCATTTTCTGAACTAAGATAAAGGTGTGGTTCAGCAATGCCTCTTCAGACTCTAAAGGAGCATGCTGTGAACTCCTTTAGATTTTAAACTTCTTGAGATTTTAGGGACTGGATCTTTTTTTTTTTTTTTGAGTTGGAGTCTCACTCTGTCTCTCAGACTGGAGTGCAGTGGCTCTTCCTGGCCACTGCAGCCTCGACCTGCTGGGCTCCGGCAATCCTTCCGCCTCAGCCATCCAGGTAGCTGAAACTACAGGCGCGCGCCACCATGCCCGGCTAATTTTTGTGATTTATTGTAGAGATGAGGTCTCGCCAAGTTCCCCAGGCGGGTCTCGAATCCGCGGACTCAGGCAATCCACTCACCTTGGCCTCCCAAAGTGCGGGATTACAGCTGAGCCACCGAGCCCAGCCAGGACTGAATCTTTGTACCTCTGGTACCTATCTTGATGCATGGGAAACAGGCAGTATATGTTCGGTATATGTTCTTTAAGCTACACAGTAGATAATTTGTAAATGATGAGAGTAAATATACTGGATCAGAGTTTAGAATAGAGAAATGGTCTGTTATTTCCATACCTTGCTTTCTTATGGACTTCCAGTTCTTCCTTCAACATTTAATTGAAATGTCACTTTTCCCTCTGTAGCTTCTCTTTCTGCCTAAGTAGTTAACAGTCATACTCTCAGTGCCCCAAAAGAATTATGTGTATACTTCTCAAACCCTCCCATACTATGTGTTCATGTTTATTACTGTGTTTTTTTATTACTCTAATTTTGAGTTCCTTCTATGCCGGGGACCAGCTCCAGCCGGGTTCAGGGTACCCCAAAGGTGGAGATGGCGTCGGTGATTGGGGGGAAAAAGAGAGAGAAATAAAGAGACTGGACTCTAGTCTAGTGCAGAAGCGATGTGAGTGTTATTGGGAATTACAGCGGGTCTTTTATACACAAAGTCAGATGTGGGAGGGTTGTCCCCCACCCACCAGAAACCTTAATCCTTGAAAACTTAATCAATGATTGCCTTTAAACACTTTCATATGATATCTTAAAATCCCATAACAAAGGATAACTAATCTGTGACTGACATATTCTATAACCTTTTTCATCCTAAGCTGATTGATTTATGCCAAGTTAAACAATTCTATAGAAGCTTAAGCATTTACTTTACAAACGAAAGCGGCCCATCCCAGAATGTTTGGAATGTGGCCCAGTCCAAAGTTCACAGTGGGCTACCTGCAAGTAACCCAGCCACATTCTTTCAACAAAATGGCTGTCTTCCAAAACTATATTTTACAATTTACACCTTCAATAAATCCTAAGATCATGACCCAGAAGCCTGTGACCAATACTAAGGCTCTTAGATGTGACACGAGTTTGAATTATAAGTTGTGTGAAAGCCAAAACTGCAGTTTGAGGAAGAATGGGAGCAATGAGCTGCTAAAGTTAGCTTGTGTTCATCCCGGTCTCAGAGTTTTTATGTTTTGAGCTCACAGGAGCTTAATCTGGTTAGTGCTGAGTAGAAAGGGGGAGGAAATGGGGTCAATGGCTCCTGAACGCATCCTAGTGGTCTCGGGGTCAACGGCCCTTCCTGATCCCTAATGCTCAGTGGGCTTCCGTGGCCAGCTCCCAACACTTCTAGGTAAGGACCATTTCTTTCTGTTTGTTTTTTTTTTTGAGTTGGAGTCTCACTCTGCTTCCCAAGCTGGAGTTCAGTGGCATACTCCTGGCCACCCCAGTGTCGACCTGCTAGGCTTCGGCGATCCTTCTGCCTCAGCCTTCCAAGTAGCCAGAACTATTGGCGCATCCTACCACACCTGTCTTAATTTTTTATTTTATTGAAGAGACAAGGTCTTGCCAAGTTGCCCAGGCTGGTCTTGAACTTGTGGGCTAGGGCAATCCACTTGCCTTGGCCTCCCAAAGTTCTGGGATTATAGGCTGAGCCACTGAGCCTGCCAGGACCATTTCTTATTACAAATAATGCAGTGCCTGAGACTCAATAAATGTTTAATGAATGAATGAATATATAACTTCATAGATCAGACCTTGAAGCCCTAACCCATTTCCACAGAGGAAAGATAAAACTTGTATTTATTGTTATGTTTACTTTTATTGAATTACTAAATACGTATTGGTATCTGTTATATACCAGGCAAAATGGATGTACCATGAGGAAAGAAAACTAAAACTTACATATTAATGTAAGATAAAACGTGTATTTATTGACTGAATTATTGAATACTTATTGAGTGCCTGCTATATACCAGGCAAAAGGGACGGAAGCAAATTGTTCAGAGTTACTTTTAACTCTTTCAGCAACACCCGAGTTCACCTCATAAAAAAATCTATTCCGCTGAGTTAGCATCTATTCCGCTGAGTTAGCATCCATTCCTTCCTTGGTTATTCTTCATGCATGGTTTTCTCAAGTGTCCTTTCAAATACTGCATAATGCTCTAGACCATTGAATATTCCAAACACCGTCTGAGAGATTAGAGGAATCATCATTGCTTTCACCTCTGTCTGACAAAGCAGAAACCAATGGAGCAAAACCCTTCCTTTTGGTGGCAGTGGAACAGTATTGTACCTAAAAGGAAAAAAGAGTCAATTACTTCTGAAAGTTTGAAAAGTTTCATCAAAATTTGTTGATTTCTCATAATCCAATAATTTCCATTCTAGGTCTATCATGTAGATAGCAAAAAAGCTGAAAGTTAGCTATCTGAAGTATCAAACTACTATATTTTGATTAAAACGTATCATTGACAGCTAAAGAACAAGGAGAGTTTATTAACCTAATTTTAAAAAAAGGAAGAAAGGAAGGAAAAACAGGGAGTAAGAAAAGGAATAAACATAAACTTACTTGACTGCCAGACGTCCATTTTTAAGAAAAGCCAAAGCACTGGGATATAAAACACCACATACTATGCCAATCAGTGAACTTCTGAGAACACAATTTTCCTTGCTTATATTGTCTGGAAAACAAAAATAAATTTGATCTCTTTTTAAAACTCAGGATAAGAGCTATTAAGTGTTGTACTTCATAGAGTAGTTATCTGCCTAGTCTCAGCCACAATTAAACAGTAGAAAGAATACTAAAATTCAGTCTATGCACATAACAGGCTAAATGCATCACATTTAAAAAATGCTTTTATTATACTTTATCATATGGCAAATTACGTCTTACATATGTGGTTGCGGAGGAAGCAATTTCATAATGAAAGAATACTAAATTAGCAGACCAGATCCCTGGAGTCTAAGCTAATATATTTTTATTCTACTATGTGTCAGATGCTAGGAATACAGTGGTGTCTAAAAGAGTCCCGATCTCTGATCTTTTGGTCAGGCTACGAGGGAAGAAAGACATTAGAAAAATAGTAAATAGTTATAAGTGTGTACCATGCTTTGTAGGTAAACTGTATAGAGAATGTATCTAGAATTCTAATCTACTATGAGGGAAACAAAGGTTTCTCTGGGACTTGAAGAATGATAGAGGCTTCATCAATTACAGTTGTGAAACTTAAGGTAAGGTGAGGAGGCAGGAAATAACTTTAGAAGCTTGTAATATGAAAGATTCTGTGGTGGGTATTTAACATACAGGATCTTTTAATTCTTACAACAATCCTATGAAGTAAGTACTATTAGTCCTAATTAACAGACAAGACAATTGAGGCTCAGAAATTAAAGGACTTAATGTCTGCACTTGTATTCCCTAAATATATATACAAATAAATGATCTGTAAACTCAGAAAACTTAAGTGGCAGGAGGTAGGATCTGATATCATGGGTGATGTATGCTAAAGCTTCTTCTTTTCTCAGTATATTATGTTGCTTTAGTGTACTTGAACATACCTCAGTTTGCTTATCTGCAAAAAAGAAACAATAGTACTTATTATACCTGATTAAGGTTGTCATGGGGATTGCATAGGACAATATATGTGAAAGTACTTTGTAAGTGGTAGGGCAATATACAAATGTGAGAAATTGTTAGTAGTAATGTTAATGAGCAACTTCACTTAGACATAACATTATACATTACTGAATTTAAATTTACCTGAATACAAAGCATCAGTTAAAAGGAGCTTATAAGCAACTATAGTAGACAAAAATGGAAGTGTAGTTAGTGATGTATATGTCTTCAAAGTATCATGTTTAACCTTGAAGCAGTGTCTGAAAATGAAGTTTGCCAAGATTCCAGAGCAACTAGCTGTTGTTCCAAGCAACACTGTTCCATATATATTTAATGACCTAATTAAAAAAACAAAGAGAAACATTAAGTTCAACATAAAATTCTCCTAATGGTATAATGAACACTGGTGGCGTTGGTGGATATACTTAAAGCCCAGACCAAAAACCATTTGTACTCCCTAAAGCTATGAAATAAAGGAAAAAAAATACCCCAAAACATAATATCCTAATGCATATATCCTTTTCTGGGTAGTTATTTGTTATATATTTGCTCAACGTTAAATATTTCTTGAGTACTTACTATATGAAAAATATTTTCTAGCTGTGCTTGGTGGCTCAGCCTGTAATCCCGCGCCTTTGGGAGGCTGAGGTGAGTGGATTGCCTGAGCCCGTGGGTTCGAGACCCGCTTGGACAGCGAGACCTCATCTCTACAATAACTCAAAAAGTCAGCCGGGCGTGGTAGTGCATGCCTGTAATTCTGGCTACTCGGAAGGCTGAGGTAGAAGGATCGCCGGAGCCCAGCAGGTCGAGGCTGCAGTGGCTGGGAGCGGCCACTGCACTCCAGTCTGGGCAACAGAGTGAGACTCCAACTCAGAAAAAAAGAAAAAAAAAGAAAAATATTTTCTAAGAGCTGAGGATGGGGCAGTAAACAAGACAATAATCATCATCATCATCATCATCATCCCAGGTCTCATGGAACTTTTATTTTAATGAGAGGATATGATTCTCTTTCTGAAAATATTTAGGATGGTTCTAAAGTAGAGCCCTCTTAAAGCGTTTTGGCCACAAATAAATATAACTATATACCAATGTAGCCAAATTTTATGAGCTACGGGATTATAGGCATGTGCTACCATCTAAAAATAAGGTATTTACATTTGGTTAGGCCTTACAGAAAATAACTATTTCTTCATTATTCCAGATACATTTAAAATAATTTGTATAGGATTTACAAAACTTTATCCAAAAAAAGATCTAATAGATCTATTTTTCTTATTCTGACTCATGCCTAAATCCAGAAACTTCTAATGTTTATGATCAACTGTTCTTTGATTTTATTTTTGAAGTCTATTCATTTGAAAGTAAATACGGTAATGTAAGACTATAGTGCACCATGGAATCTGTATTTCCTTTTACTCTGCTAAGTACTGTAGCTGAGATGAAAAATCCTAAACTGCCTAATTACAATTGCTTGTCAACTGAATATAAGTACTCCCCCAAAATGGTTTTCCCTTAATTACTTTTTTTTTTGAGTTAGAGTCTCACTCTATCACCCAGGCAGGAGTGCAGGGGCATGCTCATGGCCACCCCAGTGTCAACCTGCTGGGCTCAGGCGATCCTTCCACCTCAGCCTTCGAAGTAGCCACAACTGCAGGTTTGCACTACCACACCTGGCTAATTTTTTGATTTTTCATTGTAGAGTTGAAGTCTTGCCAAGTTGCCTAGGCTATTCTCGAACCAGTGGGCTCAGGCAATCCCCTCACCTCAGCCTCCCAAAGTGCTGGGATTACAGGTCTGAGTCACTGCGCCCAGCCTCTCCTAATTCCTTTTAATTAAAACATATTTAATATACAAATGTTTCAGCAATAACTTTGACACTTTTTTTTAAGAATCAAAGGAAATTATACACAATCTCAAATATTCCAGCAAACCACTATTTTATATTCCCCTCCGGTTCTATTTATAAAATAAACTTTGTTCATAACCAACTTAATAAAGTTAACAGGATCTTAGATGCTCCCCAGAAACAATGACAATACAAAAGATCTGCAAATAAAGTCACGTCAGCCTGGGTGTATCTCTTACATTTCTTTTCTAAAACATTCAAATTTTTTTTCTATGATTTCAATGACCATTGGTCTTCTGAGTTTTGCATCTTCTAGAGAAGGACTAGGCTGATCAAGCATATATGCTTCCATCTTGATGTCCTGGAAAGCACAAAATTTCAAAGCTATAATTAGTGGTATTAATATTAAATAAAATCTTATGAATTCTAGAGATTCAGATTAAAAAAACACTTAAAGTCTAGTAATGTACTAGGTACTATGTTATCTGCATACTTTATGTTAATAAGTCTATCAACATTTCCTGAACTCTTATCTGTTGGAAGATGGTTTTTTGATTCACACAATAACTTGAGAAATCAGTAAAATTAACAATCATCTTTACTTTTACAGATAAGAAAACTAAGATTCCAAAAGATAGACTTGTCTTAAGACAAAGTGTAGGATAATTTACTGAGATACTGAGTTTTTGTTCTTCACTCTCCTTATTCCAAGAAGGTAGCCAAGCCCTTTGTAATTCCTGCTCTAGTTCTTCAGGTGGGAAGGTGGAAATAGTGGTTCTTGTTGACAACTGTCTCTAGCCTCTGTCTCTCATGAAAGCCTGAGCTCATTTTGGAGATTGTGTTAAGTTTTCTGGAGAGGTAGGGGGGATCATCTTGGAGAATAGTGAGAGAGAAAATCAGAAAGAGGGACACTGCTCCAGGTTGAAAATAGGCAGTAGATCACAGCTATCTTGGATTATGTAAATTATACAGGCTATCTTGGATTATGTAAATTATACATCCAGTTCCCTATTAGCACCTGTGGTGAAGGGCCTTTGCCTGCAATGGCCTTGTGGTATATCAGAAAGCCTGGACCCAGGGCACTGGGTTCCAAGATGGAAAAGTTCTTGTGTCCCAGGGTGATGAATAGACAGCTGCCAATGTCAAGGGATCATGAGGGCTTGGCCAGTAGCACCTTAACAGAGGCAACTACTAAGGTTAAAAAACAAAACAAAACAACCCCCCACCCCACAGCCTCAGACAGCATCCTTTCTGAATGTTTTTACAAATTACAATTTTTCAGGGCCTAGACTTAATCTTTTGCCTCTTCCTGACATCCAGATGGAAAATGGAAAGGAGATAGTAATAGCTAATGGAGATTCTATACCTAACCCATCTAATGTATTAAGAAGGCAGATGTTAATAACATGATGATTAACCAGAAACCTTAGATAATTTTTGTTTTGCTCTCATTCAATTCATTGAAGTTCCCCAATTCTCACCAAAAAAAAAAAACCTTTTAGAAAATATCTCCTACCTAGTCTACACCCTAACTCTATAGGGAAAACAGGCAATATTTGAGTGCTGAGTGTTTGCAAGGCAAACACTGTCAAAGACTCGACTGCTTTCATTACACTTCCCTTATTTAATAGCAGAAAAATAGATTAGTAACTTTCAGCAAGACTTTTAACCAGCACTAAAATATAAAGCTTCTCATCTCTATATCAAATCAAAAACTAGTCGGGCGTGGTAGCTACTTGGAAGGCTGAGGCGGAAGGAAGGATCGCCGGAGCCCAGCAGGTCGAGGCTGCGGTGGCCGGGAGCAGCCACTGCACTCCAGTCTGGGCGACAGAGTGAGACTCCAACTCAAAAAAAAAAAAAAAAAATATATATATATATATATATATAAAGCTTCTTGCTATAACCATTTTTATTTAAAATTAACTTGGGCAAGGCCACTTACTGGTTACCATGCTCATATCAGTAAAAGTGCATTTATGTAGGTTTAGTTTGGAAAATATTTTACGGTTTTGTAGTGCTTTAAGTGTATTTCACCTGGTTTTCAAAATTTTATTCAGCATTTGCTCATCATTTAGGGAGCACCAGATATATGCCAGGTCCCAGCGCAATCAAGATATAGTCCATGCCCTCAGGAATCCATAACCTAGTGTGAGGTCAGAACCAAAAAGCAGGCAATTTAAAACCAATCAAATAAGAAAAGATTAACTTAATCTAGCCAGAGAAAGTGTGGGAAGCCTTCCGGGAGGGAATGACATTTAAACCAATATTCAAAAGAGATGAATTCTTTGGGGTTGGGGGTGGGGAGGGGGTAAGCAGAAAAAGAGCCCAAGTTGAAGAAAAGTCCTGTACAAAGGAGCCAGGAGACAAGAGAGAACAAGCTGAAGATGAGGACTAGACTTTAGGTCTTCTGCTTTCTCTCGGCCTCCTTCCATAGCAGCTGGGGACTTAATCGACTGCGCCTGTTGTGGACTTGGGCGCTGTCCTCTTTGGGGTTCAAATTCCCTTTACGTGCATCATCTTAGAAGAGTCTGCCAACACTGTGAGGCTTCTGAAATCACGGCCCATACCACCTCGGGTTCCTGCCTACCTTGGGCGCATCCCCAGTTCCCACCGGCACCACACCCGCACCGCTCAAGTCAGCCGCAACCCCACGCCCGAGCAGCGCCATTTTGGAGGCTCCCGTGACTCGCAGGTGGGCGGGGACCCAGAAAGCCCTGGGTGGGAAGCGGTGCTGACTTACGGCGCCCGCCTCCCGCTGGCAGCCCGGGCCCGCCTCCACTCAGTCAAAAGCCGCGCCCGCCATCCTGGCTGTGATTGGGCGCAGCGCCCAGAAATGACGGCCACTCATTGGCTTAGAGGCGGTCCTGTCGCCCCGTGGGCCCGCCCCGGGGCCCGCCCAGGATTTCCTCCCCCTCCCATTTATCTGCCTGGCTCCCTCTCCTCCCGTCCCGAGGGGAAGATGGGGCGTCTTCAGCGTAGGAGTGTTGCGCGCCTGCCTCTCTTCGGGGCAGCGAGGGACTGGCTGCTGGCCCCTGTCACCCCTTAAGGAACTCCCCCTGTGACCTGGCCCGTGTGTCGAGGCTCTGCTTCTCGGGCCCCTCCTCCTCAGGTCTCCCCACTGGCCGCTAGCGCCGTCAGCGCAGCCCCGGCTAGCCTCCTCCCCTCGCGGCGGTCTGACTCCTCTCCCCAGTCTTAGTCCTCTGAGATTCCATCCTGTCGCCCCGCTGGGAAAGGGGCCGGAGAGACATTTGTCCCCTGCCCCCCGAGAAGACCCACTTGTCAGTCCGTGTTTCGGGGCGCGGGGCACTGCGAGGAGGCCTGGCGCTCTTTTGTGCAGTTAAATGCCCGGCAGGATCTCCCAGAACGGCAGCCCCCGACCCTCCAGTCTCCATGTCTTAGAGGAGCCAAATTCGAGAGTTATATAATTTCTAGTGCTGCTGTTTCTCCTGCCTGAGGAAACACTTCATCGCGTGGAGGGTGCAGGACATTTCGGTGCTCTTCTATAAAAGAACGGGGTGTGGGCAGGGGTGGCCAGCGGTGGCAGAGAAATGTCTTTTCTGCAGAAGGAAGGTGGGTAGTTTGAAGAAAGATTGAGAGAAAGGGTGGATGTGAAAGCCAAGCAGCTGCCCTCTCCCATTTAGGACATCGCGGACCGTTTGCATAGCTTATGCTTACATGTCTAATACTACTACCGCGTCTCTGAAAGCACCTTTGGGAGAAGGCTTGACTTCTCTCCAACAATCTCAGTGTTTTTCCTCGCCGGATAGGGAGCTGCTTGGACGCGAAGAGATGCATGATGTGAATGACTCCAGTGTGAAGAAATCTGCTTCGCCAACTCATCCTGCATCAAGTGCCCATTGAGTAGCACTGTCACTTTAATGTCTCCATGCCAAGGGATTGCTTTCCTTTTTTCAATCCTCTCGGTTAATACATGGGAGGATCAGAATCAGAGGGGCATTAACCATCAAGCCTGGGGGCTTGGAGAGCACAGAAGAAAAAAATGAAAGTGACAGCAAGCGGATCCTGAGTTATTGAGGGGGTGAAATCCGGAACTTCTAATCCAGTAAATAGAAGGGGGTCTTCCAGTCTGTGTTCTACCCCAGAAAACTGTTCAAACTCACCCACCTTTTTAGAGTTCAGAGTCAGAGAGGTTTTGATAAGTATTTTTTTTTTTTTTTGGAGGGGAAGTGGGGATTACATTTTTCTAAATATTTGAGGATCTTTATCATCAACCAGTTCATCCTTGAATTTGATCATGTATAAAGTAATGAGACAGCTGTCTAAATTTGGTTTGTGCCTTCATTGAGTTAGTCATCGAACTTCCAAAAATGTTGCTGCCTGAAGAGGAGTTTTAATAACGTTTTCTGTGCTTACAATAGTTTTCTCAGCTTTTTAAAAACAGTATAAATATTTTATAAAAATTGAAAAACTTAAACAACTTGAAAGTTATTATTTTTTTCTAAGCTCTGTGGGCCGTGTTAAAAGTTTGTTGTGGAAAAAAACACATTTTTTTTTTTTTTTTTAAATCTGAAATAGAAGACTCTGCCTGGATTTCAAAAACTGAACAGTGAAGTGGTTTGCAACAGTTACCTGGTTCTTGGACTCAATCCAGCTGGATCAAGCTGAGATCTGAAAAGAGATCTTGAATCCTGTGGCAGTGGAAAGATTCAAGAATGCCAGTCAAGAAGAAAGGTGGGCTGTGAGGTTCTTATATAATACATGTTTCTCCCATTTTAAATTCTAGTATTTGTAATTTAAATTGCATTTCATTTGAGAGTAAAATTTTATCTTAGTTTGGGGAAAATATTTATTGTAATATCTTGTCAGTGGTGCATCATTCAGTATTTTTTTTTTCTAAAGTAAAATGAAGTAGGCCTATAGTATTTATTTATAGACATTTGTGGTTTCATAAATCACGTTCTTTATATCCCTCCATTCGTAATAGGATTAAATTCAGTACTATAGATTTGGAATATTCTTTAACTTCTTAGCTTGTTCAAGGTTACTTTCAAACCATCTTTAACAAAAGAAACTTGTCCAGTGGAACGCTTCTCCATGGATTTAATATTATCAAGCTAATTTCATAGTTGTAAAAGATACAAAGTAATTTGCACTGAATAAAATTATAGCTTTATAATTATTCTTTTGGGTAAAAAATAGCTTTCATATTTGAACTTATTCATCACTTTTGTGGTAAAGTAAAACTTTGGTAGCTGTTGTGCTTTTTCAGATACATGCATTACCAATAACATGATTGGCAAGGTCTCCAAATGAGGCAAACACCTGCTTTTTTCCCCTCAACAATTTTACTACTTGGAACTGATCAAGATTCAATGGACTCCTGAAATGTAGTTTATTATAGTCAGACTTTGGGGATTCAATGTAGCCTAGATCACCCCAGGTTAACTTTGTTCCACAGGATCTTAGTGAAACCAGTTTGTTGGGGTTTGATTTGTTATTTTGACATGATATGGAAGATGAGATCAACTATAAAGAGTTTCTCAAGAGTTTGAGTCAAAATTTATATGAACACCTTGATATATGAACACCCTGAATTCTACTATACTGGCCTAACAGAGATCCAAATGTCCAATCATAGGAGTTGCTACAATCTGAAACTAAAGCTGTGGGTGAAGGTTAATGTCAACCTAGTTTTGCATGATGTTTAACCCTTCTACCTGTGGACTTGAAAGATGTGTTAAGGAAAATTATATTCACTGAGATGCTTTGTCCAAGCTGATATCTATAGAGATGGACAATGAAATATAAAGCTTTTGAAACACCTAGAACTGTAATTTTTGCACACCAATTTAAGGTTCGGATTGATTCCTTCCCCTGCTGTTCCTCATACTACTACTGAGAGTAGGGAACTCTCTATGAGATTGTGGACTAATTTATTTTATTTTGGACTAATTGAATTAAACACACTGTGTTTGAGAGAGAGAGAGGAAAAGAGGGAGATGGAGAGAGATGGAAGAAGAGAGAAAGGAGAAAGGGAGGTGGAGAGAGAGAGAAAGGGAAGGAGGAGGGGGAGGAAGCACAACTGATGTGCTGGGTATAACTCAACTAAGCAGGGTGAACTTAAGGTTTTTAAATACAATAGAAGGATTTCTTGAAAGTTCTTACCTCTAAAGAATTATTACAGAAATTGATGAAATATTATTAAAAATTGCAATTACTTTATAAGAAAGAGATGTCCTCTCTTCTTCCTCTCATCTTCTTCTCCTCCCTCCTTCCTTCTTTAAAAATTGATTGACATGATGGATCAAATTTTTAAAGGAATCAACAAGTTATGATTAGCAAAACAAGGATATATTTGTATGATAGTAGAGTATACGCATTATGTAATTTTCCTTACGAACTGAGCTAGTTAGAAAAACAGGATATCTTGCTTTTAATCTCTTAAAACTGTTAGTATTAAGACGTGTATTTTGGAATGTTATAGATAACTAGCTAAACAAGCTATTATATGTGCATTCTATTTCTAATTGGCTAAGCTTATTATCTCTACTGTTTATATAATGTAAGAAAAATATTTTAAAGCTTAACCTAGATTTATTCTGCAGGCATCATTGTTCTTCATTATCTGAATCTTTTTCTCTTTTCATTTTTACATGTGGTAGGTATGATGAAAGACCTAGACTTAATGTGATTTTAAACAATAACTATCCTCATTGAGCCAAGGGCTTATTCATTGTTGAGTATATTCTTATTAAAATATAAAATTTTCATGAGACAGATTTTCATTTGGTGTTTATATTGTCAAAATAGAGAGGAGATACTTTCATTGATAACATGCAACTGTGGTGGAAGTAGGAATGGGTGTGACATCTCACTAAGCCCATTTCTAGGTGCTATTCTTCACTACTTTTGGATGAGCGAAACTTCCACACCCCCAATTTCCATATTCAGTGCTCGTTTGCTTTATGACACTACTTCCTACCTCTCCCACCCCAGTATTTTCACGTTTATAGATCTGTTTTATCGAGAGAAGACTCTTCAATTTCTCCATTAAATTTTTTTTCCCTCAACAGTTGTTTTTCATTCAGGATTCTCTTATTTATAGTAGTAACTTGATTTGCTCCCACTTGAGGCTTTAGGACAATCTTTGACATGTTTTAATTTGTGAAAATTTAGGGCCAATTCAAAATAAATTGTATTAGCACTCTCTGATGTGGTGCAAGATCATACTGTGTTGCAAGGATCTATATCAACAAGTCATCTTGAATTGATCTGATGTGATTTCATGTTGGGTTAATGTAAGAAACAGAAGTAAATGGTAGTTGTATCCTTCCCATGCTCTCAGCAGAAAAAGTTGCTGTTTTAAGGATAAAATGTACTTCAATAGAATTTTATAGTACAATACAGTTTCTTTTTTGAACAGTTTTTGTTTCTCCTTGTCATTAAATACGTAAAAGAAATCAATACCTTTAATACTTTAAGATACGTGTTCATTTCATTTCTGTGTTTTTGTAATTTTTCCCGTTACCTCCTGAGATTCTTTTAAAACTGGTATAGAAGTCTACTTGATGTTATTCATTTATATGACACTTTATTAATTTGAAATGTCTTTTTTTGCAACTGTTCTCAATAATATAGTGAAGTATATATAAACAGATTTTTTTGTACATGTCCTGAAAATTAAAATACTATCTTTTTAATATTCATATGTTTTGACATTATATCTTTTAAAAGGAAGCTGAAGAATGTTGTATAACTAGAATTCTAAGGCATGGTAGTGCCACATATCTGATAGCACCTTTGAAATTGAGAATATTGTCTCTTGGACTCACAGTTTTTTATGTCTTTGCTTTTGACTGACTGTATGCTTCATTAAGGCATCATTTCTGTTTTTCTTTTTCTCTCTGGGGAAAGGACCTTAGAACTTTTCTGCTTATTCATTCCTCATTTAGAATTTTTATTTTTATTTTTTGAGTTAGAGTCTTACTCTGTCGCCCAGGCTGGAGTACAGCGACGCTGGGGGGATGGCCACCCCAGCGTCGACCTGCTGGAACCTGCTGGGCTCCGGTGATCCTTCTGCCTCAGCCTTCCAAGTAGTGGAAACTGCAGGCGCATGCTGCCACATCTGGTTAATTTTTGATTTGTTGTAGAGTCAAGGTTTCACCAAGTTGCCCAGGCTTGTCTCGAACCTGTGGACTGAGTTAATCCACTTGCCTCGGACTCCCAAAGTGCTGGGATTACAGGCTGAGCCTGGATAGAATTTTTAAAAATTTCATTATTTGTTTCTCTCTTTTTTTGGGGGGGGGGGAAGAAATTTATACAATGATCATTGAGAACTAACTTCAAAAAAAGTTCAGATTGCATTTTATGACATGCAAACAATTAAAATATTTTATTATAACATATTCTTAGCAAGGAAATATGACAACTTACTCTGTAGCACTTCCAATATTGAAAATATAGATGTAGTTTTTATTCTTAAATAACCACTTTATTTTTAATTTAAAAAAATATATTATTATGTTAAAGATGTGGGGTACAATTCAGGGTTAGGTACATAAGTGGTCATCGTACAGGTGAAGTTTGGGTACTCTTATGTGCCCTGCCTCTCTTCCCTGGCAGTGTACCACTATTGCCAATCCCTTTCTTATAGTATTATGATAAATGTTCAGGATCTGCTTATGTGTGAGTACATAGAGTGCTCAGATCTTTGTTTCTGTGATAAATCACTGAGCATTATAGACTCTAAATCCATCCAAGTTGCTGCAAAGTCCATAACTTTGTTTTTCTTTATGGTTGCACAATTTTCCATTGTGTATATGTACCACATTTTCTTTATCCATTCCAGTTTTGATTGGCAGCATGGCTGGTACTATGTTTTTGCTATTG